AAATGGAAACATCGGTACATGTAGATCTTGAAAGTCAAGTTGTTCAAAACTTGAAATAGCGTTGATAACTGGGCCAGTTGTTGGTTGAGATGTTGCAAAGAAAATATGTGCTGAAGCTTTTCGCCAGACACTAATCATAGCAGAAACGTCTGAAAAATGATCTATAGGAAATAGTACAGCTTATAGAATGAGTCAGATTAACGTAGGCCAGTAAGGCTATATGATTTGCATGTCCTTAAGTCACAGACATGCTGAAGGATGTGTAGATTGTATAGTAATTCTTTTTGGCAGCGAAGGATGGGTTTATGTGTTTTGTTAAAGGTGGTTTCCAAAATTTAGAGATGAAAGGTTGACAGACCATTTGCAATAATTTTTAACCTGCTATCTGTGTAGTTGTCAGCACAAGCTGGGTTCACTAGTAAATGCTGGCCAATTACTGATTCACATTTTGGTGGTAGAACTTTTGTTTTACAGGAGCGACATAGTAAATTATTTTCTTTCACACTCTTAGTTCTTATGGATGTTGGCACATGTTGTTTAATTCTCTCCTGTAGTCTTTGTGAAGTGCGACCTACATACCAACATTTGCAGTGGCACGAGAATTCATAAATAACCATACATTTCTGTGTGGTAGGTATTGCATCTTTGTGTGTTGCAGGCAACAACTTGTGTGTGGAATAAGCATAGTAGGGGTTCACTGCAGGAAAACATTTAGTAATGGCTGTTTTCAATTGTTTTTCAAATTTTGTTGAAATGGTGAAATTATTATTATTCATTGTCTTACTTTATCTAAACTAATAAGTTTGTAATTTTTACATTTTAATTACTTTTATAACAATAAATAAAAGACATACATGAAAAACAAAAAAAATATAGTACTTTAACTTTTTTTTTGCAGTGGTTACTAATGAAATATAAGCCTACTTTTTTATAATAATGGTACTAGTATACTAAGTCATTTTTATTTACCTGAATAATGTACGTAAGAACAAAGAATAATAACATGCACAAAGCAAGCAAAATCCTATAACTATTATATTTTATATGGCTTTCAAACTAAGACAAGACAGGCTTAAAATAATTCTCTTAGCTGCTGAATCTGAATACCTCAAGATAAACTTTCAAACTGAAGACGAAATTTATAATACTCTGTTCTGAAAATAATGAAGCATTATGCATCATTTGATAGATTAAAACTTTGCCTATCTATTGGTAAAAATGCTATATAATATAAAATATCAGAGACAATTATTGGGATTTTGAAAAAAAGATGTGATAGGTGGGCATGGCAAGTGGGTCAGATTTTCTGTTTTATGACTCCATAAACAAAGAGTTTAAGGCTATAAAAATTTGACTTTACCTCAATAATATCTTTATTATAATAAGTAATTTATGTTAAATTCAATACTTCAGTGGTAAATAAATTAGTGAAGGGGTGAAGACCTCAAGAACAAATGTCATGATTCTCATATTATGGGAGATTGAAGATTTTTTCATATATTTCGTTATAAAATTAATAACTTAAAGCTTATATAATATTAAAATTTTGTTTATTATCTACATTGTGATGCCAAGATTATTTGCATGTATTGGTAATAAAGTAGTTTAATTACATTTTGAACATAACTCTCTAAAAGGTCATGACATGTACACTTTAAACTATCTGTAGCAAGAGGGTTAATTATACCTGAAAAATAACTGAACCTTTTCAGTTTTTAATGTGTACCATAACAGTATTTTTATGTCTTTTATATGCAAAATTTTTTTGGCTTTGAGGTCTGAAAAATGGCTTTATATACTCACACATATAGAAATTAATACTTTTACAAAGTCAGTCGGTTCAATGAAGTTCATATTTCAAAACATACTTACTTCTCTGACACTACAGCTATTACTTGACTGCCAGGTTTTTTTCCTTTGCCCATCTAAGCATTGCTTTGATATTTTCTTGCTTGCTCTAGTCTTTTATACGTCACTTAGTTGCCCTTGGTAATATTTGTCTTGTGACACTCTCCATCTATGTCAATGCACCCTCTATCCTGGTACTTTATATAAGCACCTCATTCAGATAATGTTATCACTTTTTCTCGACAAAGCATTTAATAATCATTAGAAGATACTATGAGTGTTCTTCGTGTTGCCTATTACATTTTCTTAAAAAGAAAATTCAGGGTGGGGGTCACTCTTGGTTGAGACTGTCAGTGAGATTATTGTAGAGAGATAGAGACATATATTTGGTTCGGTGGTGTTCTTCTGGGGTCTCTGAGGCTGCAATTGAGGGTGATCCTGGACATTCTGGAGAGAATTTAGATTCACTTTTCCTGCACCTTCTTTTATTCTGTTGGCTTCTCAAGAGACCACAGCCCGGCATGGCCAGGTGGTTAGGGCACTCAACTCGCAATCTGTGGGTTGAGGGTTCGAATCCCCATCACACCAAACATGCTCGCCCTTTCAACCGTGGGGGCATTATAATGTGATGGTCAATCCCATCATTCATTGGTAAAAGAGTAGCCCAAGAGTGGGTGGTGATGACTAGCTGCCTTCCCTCTAATCTTACACTGCCAAGTTAGGGATGGCTAGTGCAGATAGCCCTCATGTAGCTTTACGCGAAATCCGTAACAAACAAACATCAGGAGGCCACTTTGGGATAAGCTGCTTCAGACTTCTTTTTTTTTTTTTTTCTTCAGTTGATCTATTGAGTGTGTGATGTTTTGGGTCTTTCCCCAGTTGCTTTTGAGTCTGCACCTTAATTGGTGGCTGAAAGATATGGGAGTGAATACTTAGATTTCCCTCAATCCAGTGACATTGGTTCATGCAAGGAGGTTTACTTCTCACTTACCTGAAGGGACAGGTATGCCTTATATGGCAAAGTTGTTAGAACTACATGATTTAACCTACCACCGCCAGGAGTAACCGTATTCCAACTCTCAAAGAATACATCTGCTCCTAGAAATTAGTGGGTCTAGATCAGACTTTATAGTTAACCTCTGGTTGGACGTCGGTAACTCTATGAACTTATAACACTAAAGTCTAATGTGTTCTTTTCCTAAAACTAAACTTTGTTGGAAGACTCTCAGGATTACCAAGTCCTTGATAATGAGTTGGACCCATTGTTAGCATGCACATTGGTTCAATTGTTGGCTTCTACATTCATTCCTGTTGTTGTTGGCATCTCAACTTTCATTGGCTCCACAGGAGGTCATAGTTCCACCCCTATTCAAGAGGGTCCCAACCCCTGAAATAAACCCTTCAGTCCATTGGTACCCAGAATAGATTCTGTCCATATCCAAGGGTCCTGCTGCTCAGTCAGAATGCCACCAGTGGTGTAGGTGATTATTGTGTGCCTTCAGGGTTTCTGGGGGCTGGGCTTTTTAGAATTTCTGGACTTGTACTAAACCTTAACCATGGATCCATGGGCACTACAGATCCTTGAGTCAGGATTAGTCATTCAATTCTGATATTCACCATGATTATCCACCCAATCTGTAGGGTTTCCACCTCCCACAGATCCTTGGATTTTGGAACATAGTTCTAGGGCTATCAGAGTTTCGTTGGTCTGGGTATATAGAGTCATGCCAGTTATTTTGGGGTTTTATTCCCGTCAGTTTGTTGGACCCGGGAAGATAGGAGATTGATGTCCAGTCATCGATTTTTCTCATCTACATCAATTTCTAGATTCTCCACGGTTCACAAAAGCGTCATTCCTTAGTGTGAGTTGGCTTTTTTTTATGTGGATTGTGGATGTCCAAGTTTGATGTAGTTGGCTCCTACCTGCACATTGCCATAGAGGTAGCCTTCCATTTTTTATGCACAAGGGTCAGGTACTGCAGTTCAGTGTTTTTACTTTCCTACTAGTATTGCCACTACATGGGTTCAGCTGAATCATAAGAGCATTTTCTCATCACCTCCATTCCCTAGTTCTGTGCATACACCATTTCATGGATGACTGGTTACTGATGGCACCATCTCGTCAATTGTCTGAATGTCACACCTGGATTCTACTTTGAGAAACAACCAAGGCAGGCTTCATTCTCAGAGCTGAGACATCTATTCTTGCTCCAACTCAATATGTCATCAGTCTGGGTATTTTTTCATCACAAACCTCAGCCGACTCCCATCTAGCTTCATGCTATGGAACAGAAAGCCAGACTCTTACTCACCTCTCCTTCTCCCACTGCACGGATAGTTTTTTCTCTTTTGGGAAGATGGGCATCACTTGAATCCCTTATGCCTTTGGGACAAGTGCACGAGAGATCTTTTCAATAGTCTTTATGCGACCAAGAGATCATAAACATTGATTCATTGGATTTTCCACTTTCCTTATACAGGATCATTCTTCGATCTTGAGGGGTTGTTAGATCAGGACAATACTAAGATATCGTTTGCCACCACCTCATCTAGGGATTCATCTTTTCACAATTGCCTCACTTCAGGGAAGGGGTGCATATCTGAACAGTTATGAATTCTAAGGTCTACACACAGATGAGGAGACTTCTCTACAAAGTATTTTAGACCTTGATCTTTTAAAGGCGAGACCTCATTGTCTACGCTTATTAAGGGTGAAATTGTCAGGCTTCACTCTGACGATTCCACAGTGGTGTCTTGTATTTTTCATCAAGGGTGCACTTTATCCAGGGCTGCTTGTTTTAGAACCTTGGATCTCCTTTCTAGGACCACTCCTATCATGTCACCCTACTAGCTAGCCATGTTCCACAAGTGATGACCGCTATATCAGATCAATTGTCACGACCCAAGCAGATTCTCTCAACAAAATAGATGCTGCATCATGAAATTTTCTGTTGGATTGGCTTTCATTTTGAAACACTGATGATTGGCAGGGTGGCCACTCTTGGGAACAATTACTGGTAAGTTGGTCTCCAGTACCTCACTCCTGGGCTTTAGCAATGGATACATTTCATTTGAATAGGACAGGATTACAACTTTAGGCCTTTCCTCTAATTCATATATTACCCAAGGTACTAAATATGATTTGTTCCAACACATAGTAGGTCCAGTTTCTAGCACTGGATTGGCAGCTACACCCTGGTTTCTGCTTCTGTGGTACCTTAAAGAGTGCCCATGTCTTCCACTTCCTAATGGCCATTTCTATGGAGGCAGCCATGATCTGATATAGTACACCCAGCTATTCAGCAGCTCAAGCTTCAGGAATATAGGTTATGCAGTTCTTCTCATGGCATTGAGGTTTAATTACTAAGGTTGCAATGTATCTGTCTCAGTCTTTGCTTAGTTCTGCAATAGCCATTTATCAGTGAAAATAGCACACATATCAACAATGGTTTATTGAAAGGAGGTTGAAATGCCACCCATATCTCGTTTTTTTGACCTGGCTCTTTGTCTAGGTTTTTGCATCTTCCACAACTGCCGTATATAAGGTGGTCTTATTGACTACCATACGATACTTGAGTCACCAGTACTCTCCAGCTTCCTCAAGTTGCTTTGGGTCCTTTGTCTAAAATGACCATTCCAGTTACCTAACTGATATATTAAGGTTACAGTTCATGCCCTTAGCCTCATGTGCTATTTATCATCTTTCCCCGAAGGTTTATTTTTTGTTACTGCTGACTTACAGACATCACCGGTCAAAGTGGTTTATGCTGATTGTCTACAGAATGCTTTATCATTCTACCTACATCCTAAGACATTGTCAGACTGTGAAGGGGATAAATCATTTTCATTGATTCTCCTGATTGCTATTTCTCACTATTATGACCAATCAAATTTCTATCATTTGTTTTGTCAGTGTGGGTCTTCAACGTTTTGTTGACCACCCGAATGCCTTTAGAGATGCTAGACAACAATTGTTTATTCATTGAGATCATTCCACTTCCCAGAATTTATCCCCGGAAACATTGACAAGTTGAATACAAAATTGAACCATATCACTTATTCTAGACTGTCTTTGACTGCAAAGAGTCTTCTGTGAGTCATGTCTAATCATATTCATCACATTCTTGTGTCTTTAGCAGTCCAATTGAATTGCCTGCTGGAGGACATTGTTCGATCTGGTATGTGGACCTCCCCCCAATACTTTTATCTCACATTATTTGTAGATGTCAGTAGGAGAGGCACCAACCTATATGGGAGACTACTCATAATAACGGTTTAGATTTGATGCTCAACTATCAGGATATTTTGAATGTGGCCCTTCTTTTTGACCAATATTGGTTCAGTAAATTGTTCAGGGAAAAGGATCCAATGTCTCCTCATAATTCCAAACACAGAGTGGTCCCATCCTGGGTACTTGGTTGAGCACAGTTTGTTGCACGTCCTCCTCTTAATTCTGAGAGCAAGTTGAATTTACCTTGCCCACATGGTTTGGTAGTGAGGATGAGTGTTCATAATTGCAGTCCAGATGACTTCTGTTTCCTCAGGTTGAGTAAGGTATACAATATCCCATCATTCCAAGCCTGATGTGTTTGCTTTTGGACTCCTTCAGGCTGAGAAGGTTTGTCCACTTTGGTGTTGCTTACCTTTTCATCATGATTCTGGTGGCTCAGAACTCATCACTCTATGGACACAGGTTGAGATCCAATCATAAGTATATAGATATTTTGCAGTCCAATTGTGGAATATAGGGACCATGGCCCTATAATTCCAACCCCGAGTAGTGGAACCTTGGCTATTTGGTTTGGGCCTGGCCAATAATGATGAAATATCATGTAAAATTCCACTCACAGTACATGAATTAAGTTCCAGGTGAAGAGCATACCTGTTCTGATGTAGTGCAGTTCCCACACTAGGACTAATCTTCTACTGACACACCCATGATCTATGCAGATGCTTTCTCTAAGGATAATTCTCTCACCAGCCCTTCCACCTTATCAATGTGGGATTCTAGCTGTAGTGTGAAAGGAGGTAAGTATATTTTGAAATTTAACATTTTCTTAAATTGAAAATGCATTTCCAATAATACTTCCCTACTTTCATACTCTCCCGCCTTTCCTCCCCACTAGAGCTGGTGTTAGGGTCTGCAGTTTGAGTCAGTCTCAAAGAAGTGATGACATTATCTGAATGAGGTGCTTATATACAGTACCAGAATAGAGTGTGCATTGACGTAGATGGAAATAGCAATTAAATGGGGTATAAAGCAAGAAAAAATCAGACCAATGCTTAGATGGGCAAAGGAAGAAATCATGGCAGTCGAGTAATAGCTTTAATGTGAGCGGAGGTAAGTATAAGTGGAAATACATTTTAGATTTAAGATAATGTTAACATAATTTAATGTTGTTGTTTTTTCAACTGTTATAGTTTTATGTAAAAAAATGGATTTTTGTATCTACTTGTTTTCTGACTTTTTTCTAGCTTTACTCGTGTTGCTGTATGTCTTTCTGTGCTTCATTACCTTGGAGAAACTGTCTTCCATATTGCTAGACTGTTATACTTTGCTGAGAAAAGTAAAGCTGCTAGATATGGGTAAGTTTTTTTCTAAATATCTAAAATAAGTCATACAAACACACATGCACAGAACTAGTTCTTACTCTGTAGTCAGTTTATCCATTTCCAATTTTATTTTATGTATGTAAGTACATTACAAGAAATAAATGAATAGGGGCTACTTTTGTCACCTTAGTCATTTCTCAACTGTCTGTAAATTATTTAACATTAATTAATTAGGGTAAAACTAGATAAAATTGAAAATCAAAATTATAAATAAATAAAGTAAAAGAAACTAGATCATTATTTGACAAAAGTTTACATTTGTGTCCACCTATAACTGGCAAACCACTAAACTGATTGTTACCAAACTTGACATGTACCTCATCCACAGGACTTTGCTGTGGATGCTCTCAGTTGAGACTTGGCTAACTGGTACCTGTAAGTCTACCCTCACATCCAACTCCTTCCCAGGGTGATTTTGGTCATCCATGTTATTCTGTGTCAGGTCCTTCTGATTGCTTCTTACTGGCCAGTACAACCTTCATTTCCTTGTCTCATCCAGCTCTAAACTACCCCCTCCCCCATTGCCTCTTCCTCTTGCTTCATCCATACTCTATCAACCTTGGTGAATGGTCCTTCATTCAACCCTTCCCTCCCTCTGACTTCATGTCTGGCAAGGAGGTCCAGATTATGTAGATTTATCACCATCCTTGTAGCACAGACTGTTTGCCCTTCCTCTCATGAGGTTTATCAACTTATATGGAATATCTGCTGCTGTTGATGTTTGAGTCTGGGTTTTCCCCTTCTTGTCCCACTGTTCCTGATCTTACAGATTTTCTCACCTGTCTGTTTCATCATGGGATTTCCATCAATTCCATAGCTGGCTATCGAGCAGCCTTACATACACTTTCCATTTTTCCGAGTACCATATGGTGTTTTCCTCTCCTGTCATCTTTTTTTTACTGCATTCCTTCCAGGTTGGTAGACCTCTTTATCTGGCGATTCTTCCAGATTGGAATGTCAGTATTGTTTTTCATTACCTTACACTCCCTCCATTTGCACCTTTGTCCTCATGTTCCATGTTTCACCTATTCCTTAAGGCTTATTTCAGACTCATTTTAGCCTGTAGGCATTGTTGGTCTAATATATTTACCATTGATGTTTCAAGTACTTTGTTATGTTCCACATATGTTCTCCTTTCTCCAAATCAATATTTCCTACCTATAACTTTGGAGGCTTGTGTGGGTTATTCTTTCTTCTCACTGATCTCACTTACACCCATTTCCCACCTTTATTCCCAGTCTGTGTTCTTCATTGTTAAATTGCCTGCACAGCTTCCTTTCATGGTTCCCATTCCCTAACATCGTTCCTCTGTACATGACCTTTCTTCTTCTATCTTTACAAGTTGGGTTCGTCAACTGATTTGATTTGCATATTTCTCCCTATGTCTGTCTTCCCAAAGTCTATTCCACGTGTCATTTTATCAGATCAGACACCTTACCTTTTACCTGGAATCTCACCTCTGTCATCTATTGGAGGAAATTTTTCAGTCAGGCATGTGGAACTACGCCTCATATGTTCATCTCCCACAATCTTTATTGGGTGGCTGTTTCTTCCTTGTCGAAATACCACCTGTCGCCATCGTTAAAACTTGAGTGCAGTTGTGACTTAGTAAGTTATCTTTTCCATATATATTTTTTTTTCTTCCGTTGAGATGTCTATTTAGGTTTAGTATCTCACTCAATGGTGAGCATTGCATATCCAAGTATACTTTATGTCTGTCAAATCCACACTGTATGGCCAAAATGTATACCCATGGCCAATAATGCACATTGTTGAGAAGAGGTGTTCCACATGATCGCTAGTTGGTTTTTCTTGAGATATATTTACTTCAAAAATATGCCTATTCCAGAGTGTACTAACCCATGGACTTACACGAGTAAAGCAGAAAGAGATAGCTGCTTATCCCTGCCGTCCTTTCAACTGCATAAATCAGAGGTGTTCTATTTTTTAGTATAGTGCTTAATGGTCACCTGTTGCACTGCATTTTGTTCCCCCTTGTTTTTCTAGTGGAATATAAGAGTCTTTGCCACTTTTCAGTTCTAAGCTGCTGGGGTGGTAGACCATGGAGGAGTCCTCCTGAATGTGCAGCTCTATCCAGAGGGTGAAATTGTGTATCTTTTATAGAAGCAATCCACTTCCATGTAGTGGGACTCGAAGGTTTATTTGTTCTCCAGCTTTTATGTGGTCCTATCTGGAGGATGATGTTATTTTGGAATAGATCCATCACATTGCAGTTCATCCCTCCGAGTGGGATTCCTCGTCCCACCATCACCTGGACGTTGGATCCTAGTCAGTGGTTTTGGATTAGACCTCAACCAATCAACATACATCCTCACACATGTGTTGGTTGTGTTTCCTCATCCTAACTTAATTTAGTAGTTTTGCCTCGTGATCTCCACTTCCTTGTGGTAGGTCATGGAAATTGATGTTGTGCGTACATGCTCTCTGTGGTCCTGTTTGGGGGTTAAGGTTCTCCCTCTCATGCTCCATCTCAGAGAGCTTTCACTACATGAAGGTGCTGTTGTGCAGTTGGGTGTACCTGTCTGATTGGGTTTGGTTTGATGTGACCTGCCACACTGGCACATCCTTTCACATTATTTGGATGTTGGGTTCCCAGATATATGGGTGGTTGAGGTGAAGATGGTGTGGACCATCCTCCTACCACAGGTTGGAAGTTGTATTCCTGTTACCACTTGTTTTTGGACTGGAAATGACTGGCTGCATACAGTACGATGCACTCTATCTACTCTACATTTTGGGGCACATCCATTTTAGCTCTCCCCACATTCCTGTCTGTGGATGGTTCTTCTACAGTCTGTCTTCACTGGTATTGAGATTCTGGTATATTGTGGTTTGGATATGAACCATCCTGGTTTTTCTCTTCCTTTTCGTTATGCTTCTCCTACTTTCTGCCTGTGCATGCAACACATATTACCACACTAGGTGCAGATTTTACCTGGTATAGAAATAGTGTAGTCTCTCATGTTTGTTCCTCTCCCAATGGAAATCACTCTTCATGAGTGTTCTTTGGATGCTTTCAAAGGATACTTCTTTATATCCCTTGCACTGGTCCCTCCATCTATTCAATATGGGATTCTAACTATACTTGTGAGTGGAGTTAAGGTATCATATTGGAAATTATTATTTTCCTATACTGAAAATATATTTCCGATAGGTACACACTTCCCACCCTTCCTCCCCACTAAAAATCCGGTGCTTCCTTTCTGTCTAATATCAAAGTGATAGTTCAGTAGAATCAACCCGCGGGAGTCACATGCATCAGGAGGGTTAATCGCACTCCTGTTGGTGGAGGATTGTTGCATAAAGATTCACATGCAAGACACAGTGAACCACGTTGATCTTAGGGTATGTGGGAGTTCATGACTTGTGGCATGCAAAAACATTTTTTGCATATAGAGGGCAGCACTGAATGAGAATAGCTATAAATGGAGGTAAGTACCTATCAGAAATATATTTTGAGTATAGGAAAATAATAATATAAAGTGTGTTTGTGTATACGCACACTGTATATTATTATACAGTGCTGTAGTAGTTCTTAATGAAAGGAATCATTCCTTGAACAGTAGCAATAACTTTTTTCTTGTTGTATTAAATTTTTATATCCAACATTATACAGTTTAATTCATATCTTTTCTCAAGATTCGTGTGTCATAAAAGCTATAGATATATCTTAGCTTGTTCTTAATTTTATACGTGATTTTTAACTGATAATAAAAAATATTTTAAGTATCCAAAGATGGTGTATTTATGTGTTACTAAAGTAACAAAGGAAATAAGAAGGAAATGTATCACATGTATCTGTATGTTACATCGTGAGTGTCATGAATCAAACTACTGTGAACTTCTAAATCCCAATATTTGTATTTTACTTCATTGCAACTCTTCATATTTAGTCATGTAAATAAACTGATTTGTAAAACATTTCCAGGAATTTTACACTAAATCCCTCTGTTTGTAATTGGTAAAACTGTTGAACTGAAGTTTCAAGTTTGGTCAATTGGAATCTCTAAATACATACATCATTACTGGTTCCACTTTAAAACTTACAATCACAGAGTAAGACTAGCATATCAATATAATAAAACGTTAAAATAACTAAAACCATTGTTTAAATGAACAGATGTACTTTGTTCAAATTCATTAAAAACCGTAATAACACATCAGATAGTAATATATTTGTGCATTATTATGCTGATGTTTTATTATTGCTTTTCTTTAACCTCTGCTAATTAGTATATTTTATAATATGCCAAAACTATGGTTTTTAAATAAATATCTTCAAATAAATAAAGTATTAGTGACCTTGTCATGGCATTTTATTTTATTAAAAAATGCACATAATTTCAGAAAATGTTATACCAATTGCTAAATTTTATAATGATTACAAAGTAGGTGTATTTCACTTTAAAATATTACTGTTAAAATGTGAACTTCCTGTTGTTTATAATGTTTACAAATGGGAATTTTTCACTTTTCTGAAAAAAATATGATGATGAGACCCTGCTATAAGCATGCTGTATGTTTAACTTGTGTAACTCTTTAGTAATTGTATTAGCTTATAAACTCTCCTGTTCTTTCCATTGGAATTTTGAATCATTGATATGAGTTAAAATGTCCATACATTTGCCAGTTATCATCAGGTGTTTCATATATCAGTTAGGTGACATTAGAAACAGAAATTACTTATTTTATGTTGTTGCAGCTTTTGGCACATTTGGAATATTTTAGATCCGTGAAGTTATTTTATGCAAGATATTTTGTGAAACATTCAATAATCAATGAGTGAATATATATTATTGTATATTAAGTATCTTCACATGAAATGAAAAGTATGTTGATCCTTATATATGTACTCTGGTTACTAACACTTTAACCACAATTTCCAAAACAGAAAGGGACTTGCATAATAAAATCCTGTATTTTACTATTTGATGGAACTTCATTAAGATTTATTTCCCTTATTTCACACTTTGGTGTTGAAAAATAATTTTAATTTCCTGACTGAATCAATGATAAATAACAAATTATCTCTTCTAGTTCTTTAAAACTAGTATGTAAAACAAGAGATTATATAGTGTGCTGTAACTAAATCATTGTTATGTACCATAACATTCATTAATTTTTTTCTGTTCCCTACAGATTTATGACTTGGAACGTGTGCTTTATCATTTTGAGAATCTGTTCTGTTCTCTTGACTGTTCTTATGTTTTGGTATGGGTTACCCAGGATTTCTACTTCCAATATCATTGACATAATGGATGGAAACTTTAATACTCCAGTCATTAGGTAAGATAATATTTTAGTCTATAAAATCATAGTTAAATGAATGTTTTATGGCCTTATTTATCAAGTAATAATTTCTGTTGTAATTTCCTTTAATTAGTTTCTTGTTTTAAAGTGTACTTTGTTGTTGAAAAACCATAAATGTATTACGAGATACAGCACATCCTTAGTTTTCTGTTTATTTTTTGATGGTTTGTAAATTTTTTTGTGTACTTGTAAATGATATTTTGCCACAACATTACAATACCTAATATTAGAATATTTTGTAAACAGTGTAACAACATTTAATTAAAGAATTAACTTTAACTTTTTTTTTTTTGACATTCCAGTAAAGCAAATTTTATTCTCAAAACAGAATCAACTGCCTGGTTGGAATGTGTCTCCTACAGGCCTGGATGGTACTGAACTTTGTCAATTTCCATTTGAAGCGTATAAGAGAGCGAGCTGCTTCCACTGCCATAAATAAGAAAAAAGCACAAGGCAAGAAAGAAAAGAAGCAGAGGAAAGAGGAAGGTAATAAAAATAACAAATTTCTGTCATGGTTTATTATATATTCTCATAGCATTTGAATCTGATTTTACCTTTGTTTTAAAAGGAGAAAAAAATCATTCAGATGTGAAATATATTTTGTTTTTTTTTAGACCTATGCTAACACCTTGGATACTGTGTAGTAAAATCTTCTTTCACAAAACCCCTAACTTTCAGAAAACTGACCTTCTTACAATGTGTCACCCACTCAATAAATTTTTTAAATTGTGCTTTAGTCTAATTTCTGTATTAATTTATCATATTTTAGTGAGTTAAAGAAGGTTGTAAGTTTCAGTACTACCTGTGTGACTTGGATACCCTTTCTTAATAACCCTTCAAACATGTAAGCGAGGTTCCAGGTTAACCACTGGTATTCCTGGATAGTCACACCTTGTTTCTAATTTTATTATTATCGTTGAGTCTTCTAAGGCACAATTTTTATGGGCTATTGTACTGATTAATTTAATTGTTGCTTCAGTTTAATTAAGACACCCAATTACTGCAAGCAACAGCATTGTAAATTTTTGACTGAAATCTTAATTTTATGTTTTAATATACATTCAGAAAGCATATCATGGTGACAAATACAATGTTTTCAAAAGTTTGTTCTGTAGTTTCAAATGACCATGCAATGCAATATTTAAATATTTTCAGGCTTCTTATGTTTTTCTCACATGATAGAATTTGTTTAAAAATATTTTTCATGATTATTCTTCTGTGATAATTCATGGACATGCAATTCAAAAGTGTTGTTTTATTGGTGTTTTTGATCTTTCTGTGAAGATATTCTTATTTTAAAAAGGCAATTTTGAATCTTGAATTTAATCTCAAAACTTGCATAAATATTTAAAAAGTAAGTTGCACAATATTGCAGTGAGCAACTCAACTGTTGTTTTTTACATGCAGCTAAGAAAACTTCCGAAGATGAAGTAAATGAGCTACCAGAAGTTGACCAGAACACCAAGAAGGATCTGAGATCTCGCACTGTGGTAGTTTCTCCCAGCTCTAAGTTGAAACACAACTGAAACTGTTTCAGAGAGAACAGATTATCTCACATTTTGAACAAGTTTGTTCTCTTTGTGTACTAACAAAAGAAAAAAAATAAATGTATCTATAAATCTTGTGCTTCCATTTGTGTCAACTTTTTGAATAATGAGAGCTCAGAATGGGTTTTTCTTGTACAGCTTGTATATTAATATTCAAACTCCTTCTAACTACTATAGCCTTTTATCTTATCCCAATACATTCACTTGTAGCCAGTCTAGCAATCTTGTCTTACATAGTATAGTATTTAGCATATAAATAGAGTAAAAAAAAGATGTTTCTATCGGTGTTATGAACATCATTTTATATATTCAATATAAAATAAACTTAAAATCATAAATATCAAGCTTAACCTCTTTCCAACAATCACCAAACCTCTACATCACAGTTTCTAAACTTTTAAATGAAGGATAAGTTCTAGCCTTTTTGATGTTTCTTGATGTTGTTCATAAGTGTCTGAACATACCTATAATTTATAGTTTATACTAAGACAATCAAAATAACTATTAGGTAGATTTTGGTTTAGGCAACTAATGCAAGTCAACAAAGTTAAAATGAAGAAGTGGTTAAATTTTTATGGAATATTTTACTATCTAACTTTTACCAGCCCAGTATACATATTCTAAAAATAATTTACTTTCTCTGAATACTTATTACCAAATTCATTAAATTTTCGAAATAAAAACACAAATTTCTCAACCATGATTTAACAAACATCTAAGAATAAATTTACAAATTAAAAAAACGTTAATTTGTAGAAATTACATGAAAATGTTTTTAAAAGCGATAAAATTCTGTGACTTATACGAAACATCAGATGTTCTTGTGCTCACGTTGGTTCAGACTTTTAGGAATCAGTTTGTTCTGTACAATAAGATGGATGACACTGATTGTTAATTATTGTTTAAAACTATTTGTAACAACTTGCATAGGCATCAGTGTTCAAGCATGTTAGACTTCTCATTGACAATGTATTTCATGCTATGTGTGTACAGATAGTGGACACAAAATTGGAAACACCAGGGTAAATAAGGGACAACAAGAATATGCAATACAGAGCTTACCACACAGGTGTGGCATGTCCATTAATTAAGCAAATAACATTCCTGCATGCATAGGGTCATGTATAAAAATGTTGGACAGGCCTGGTTATTTATAATCATGGTTACAAAAGGAGACCTCAGTGATTTTGAAAGAGGAGTAATTATTTGGGCATATTTGGCAGGAGCTTCAATGACCAAGACAGCTCAAATTGCTGATGTTTCACACAGTGTCTAAAGTGATGTCAGCGTGGAACTCCGAGGAAAAGACATCATCAGCAAAGAGCAACAGTGGGTGGAAGCACACACTCCAGGATCATGATGTCCATGCATTAATTCGAACTGCAAGGCAAAACAGGCAAGAAACTGCAAATCAATTGACCGCAAATTTTAACATAGGGCGAGAGCAGCCATTTTCATCAAAAACAGTCTGCCGAGAACTCCACAGAATGGGATACTATAGTGAGGTTGCAGTGCACAAACCACTCATCACACCTGGCAATGCAAGGTTTCACGTCCAATGGTGCAAAGAGTACAGGCTATGGACTCCCAAACAGTGGAGAAATGTGATATGGTCAGATGAATCATCCTTCACCATGTTCTCGACAAATGGATAAGTGCACTGGCACTAACCCAAAAAACTCTTGAGTTCTTAAAAAACTTTTTTTTTCAATACAGGGTATCACTTTTAATACATAAAAACATTAGTTTATATCAGTAAAACTTATAAAAATTTTGAGTTTTATGCATTGAATCATTTTGATGCAATGAGTTACATGTGGCTAAAGAGCATAATCCAATAGTTATCAGCTATTCACTTTACCTTACATTGCTGATATAGTGACAGTTCATGGTAGAGAAGGATAAATACCAGATACAATATGCAGGGATAGTGGAAAAAAAACCTATAGATATGTATATGCATTTCAGAGATTATGCAAATACAACATACAAACTGTATAATGGACAAATTATTTATTCTCATTCTTCATATGAGCATCACTTTGCAGTCTGAGTCAGACAATTTACAGACATATCTTGAGAACAAATGTGTTTGTAACACAACTGATTTTTTTGTGTACAACATACTTGTATATTTTTCTAAAAACTTACCAAATACTATGCATATAAACTTAGTAAAATTGGAATTATGTTCAACATTTCTTCTCCAATATGGAGTTGGTCCAATTGACCCACCTTATGCACATTCTGTTATTAAGTACCATCTGTCATTTATTATTAAGTATTATATAAAAATGCTTTAGATTTTTTGATAAAGTATTTTTCATATTTTGGTATTAAAATTTAATATATAGAATCATAAGTTAAAACATTGTGAACTATCATTATCTTTATAAAATAATGTTAGAGTTTATATATACATATTTATATAATGTTGTGGTGAAGTGGTATTAAGAAATCTCATTATGGATGCTAGGGATTGTCATTTGTATTAATATCAAGCAGCAACATGCCTTCCTGATTAATATTTTTTCTCCCACTAATGTGGAAATGGGTTTATATTTGCACATTATATTTTTTGTTCACTGTTACTGTAATACTATGTGTAAAATTTTATCAAACTTGTCAAATTTCACTAACCTGTTCAACAATACTTTTAGCATGCTTCAACATGTAGTGTTTTATTATAATGTTGTAGTTTTATATACTTTTGGTTACTAAGACTTAAAATCAGTTTGGTAACCTGTGGCATTCATAGACTGTTCGAAAAGGCTTAAGGTGAAACATTGGGTAGAATAAAAAAAAAAATTTATCTGAAGTTGTTTGTCATCTTCATTGATAATGGTTTCTATCTTTCAGTTAGCACTGAAAACTTACACAAGGATAAACATAATTTCATCCTTTAACTTCATTCTAGTAATGTGATTTTTACTCAACTTAAAAGTGGAAACTATATTTCAAAATGTAGAGATACAATGTTCACAAAAAACTGAATTTATATATATTCATTACAGTCTACCTCATATGTATATATATTTCTTTAAATACAGGTATGAAAACAGATTTACAAATCATATGAAGTTTTCATTTTACAAATACAAAGCATAACCTTTAATACCATAAAAAGTCTTACTGATATGTTATGGAAATAAAATGGTAATACAAAATGAATCTTGTAATATATTGCATTGCAGACAGTTTAATTTGAAAGAATTATTTGATCACATAATAGATGAAGATACTTTTATGAAATCATCTAAAGATTGATAGTGTGAAGAATAACAAAGTAAGTTACAGAAAGCTGTAATTATTTATAATAATTTAGTATCTCTTAATACTTCATTCATTATACTGCACTTATCTAATGGATATTATACTATGAAATATAATATTGTTGCGTCATCGAGATCACGTGACTATTCTCACGCCCTCTTACTTTCTAGAACTATCCTGCTACTTTGGCGAATGC